AGTCACTGACAACTGGACTGAGCTATGTTCGTAGATGTAGGCTATCTGGTTGGGGTCCACGAGATGATAATAATCGATGGTTAGATACCTTGAACGACATGGCTCAGAATCGTTTATAATGGCGCAGGTGCATCCACTCGTTGTGTTCTATGAAATTCTAATCTTCTAAATTCCTCATCACCTCTGTCTTTCTCCTCCTAAATTTATCTAACCGAATTATACTTCTCGAATCATATCTTCGCTCCCTAATCTTCTCCATTACTACTAATACTTCTACTATCGCTATCACTCCTAGATTTGAACTGACAATTGTGTCTCTGTGTTGATGTGATATGGCAACCTGAAATGATGTAGTTACGTACGAAGTTCTACGTTGTATCTGTCTGTCTGTCTGTATACATTGTTTAAGTTATTGGTAAAAAAAGGTGGGGTAGCAAAGCAGTGTAGTGAATATTGGAGAAGGGTTATATATCATTAAAAAAAATGAAATTTTTTGGAATTATATCAAGAAGTATGATTCGGTGAGACAAGTTTAGAAAGAGAGAGATAGAGGTGTTGACGAATCCAGAAGATTAGGCTTTGAGAGAACACAAAGAGGGGATGCACTTGCGCCATTGCAAACGATTTTGAGCCATGCCGTTCAAGGTCTCTAACCATCGATTATTATCATCTCGCGCACCCCATTCAGGTAGCCTACATCTACCAACATGACTCAGTCCACTTGTCAGTGACCTTATGCATTTCCGCCATGTTTTGGTTTTGCCACCCCTAGCTTTCTTTCAACCTACTCGTACACCACAAAACATAGCTCGTCGAGGCAGTCGGTGGTTAGGCATACTCGCAGCATATGTCCTATCCACTTCAACTGATGAAGTTTCACCACTTCATCGATTGATCTGCCATCCTTACCTAGTACTCGTTTCCTAATGGCAGCATTGCTTATACGGTAGTCCTAGGTTACACGAGCAATGCTTCAGAGATACCTATGATCAAAGACTAGTAACCTACGGAAGTCCTCTACTCTTAACGTTCATGTTTCGCATCCATATAGTAGTAAGACGGAGTGATGACGATATAAGCTAATGTTTATGTGAATATGTTGTGTTACTGATAAACTGAATATGTGTGTATAGATGTTTTGTGTTACCCCCGTTCCCTCTTACGTTTCAATGTACATAATTGTTGAAATGATAAAGAAGAAGTTATTGGTTTATATACATTGTGTAATTGTGTATTTTGTCTGTTTCTTTCTTAATCTCTTCTTCTTACCAAGATTCTTTACTATGGGAATCGAATCCTTGGTCAGGTTCTACTCCACAATTACATGAAAATTTTTCAACCAATCGTAACTCTATCACAACCGACAGACGTTGGACACCAACTGTCACTTGTACCAGTAATGCAGGCGGCGGCAACAACACTAGTCGTCTACCACAACCTTATTATCCTACATCACAAATCTCATCATCACTTAGTGATCCTAGATGGTCAGATTTAATGAATGATATGACTAATCCATCATTAATGATGAATGATGTCAAACATCGATCGTTCAATTCTTCTGGTATTGGTGAATTGGATGATGTACACCCTAGCGGAGTTGATTGTCAATCTCTTATCATTCCAATGTCTATATCAAATAAATCATGGCTGTTAGCGCATAATATTCCATCGCATATCTCAGTTGGTATGTTAAAAATGACTGTCTCCTCAGCTTTGAATGCAAATCATCAGCTGATTCGATCAATGGAATGTGATGTTGTTGATCATCAATCGAATGATAGAAATACGTTGAATACCACCGTGACTACTGCTACTACTACTAATACTGCTGTCAGTAGTAATAGTAGTAATGATGTTGATTTCGAAATTCATCCAAATATGTCAGCACGTTGGGTTCTGTTAGGATTGAATAATTCTACGGATATGTCTATTGTTCATAGTACTTTAGAAGGCGCTGGCGGTAATCACAATAGTAGTAGTAATGATGGGCAACAACAACAAGTAACCGGTTGTTATGGATCGATAAAGAGGATTAGTCCAGCTGAAGCATTGTTTCATTTACAAGAGATTCAGGTAATTTGATTGATTGAAAAATGCAAAAATTATATGGTTTATGCCTACTTACTTGCTTACTTACTTATATACGCCTGTTACCCCTAATGGAGTATACTTAGGTCACCGACGAACGAATTACTTTTCTGGATGTTTACGGGATAGGGTCTCTAACCCCCCATGCTCAACCCTTCTCCTTTATCCGGGCTTGGGACCAGAAGAATCAATTTTTATAAAGGCGAAAGAGAATCTCACGGATTCGATTCTCGATTTTGGGGAATCGTAGATGCGTACTGCTGATGATGATTGCCATACTAGGAGGATGTAATTCTTAGTTTACGTTAGAGTTCTGGAATTGGTTTTCAAATCTTAAATTCAACCGCTAATCGTTTTTTTGGTTATGCCTTGGAACTGTTGAAAGTAGGCACAGTACTCTTCCTTTCGAAATGTTCTCATATGGTCATGATGATATAGTTCTGATATAGTTCTACTCACTAACTTCTCGTGGATTGGGTTGCTGTTTATGAAATCCATGGCATGAAAAGCGAGTGTACGTCTAGAACTTAACCTGGGTCGGTGGGTATAGAGTATATCCACCTAGGGAAGTTGGAATACCTTGATTGTAAACTGATGGTTCATATTGACTGCACAATATTCTATGAGCCTATTGTAGGTCACCGGCTACCATTTGACTGCATCTCCTGATGTTTTTCCACTATATTTTGTATTCAACTTTTGTGTCAAATGCTCGGGTTATGACTGCTTAAGAAAACACTACATGCTTGGGTTTAAGCGTTCCAACAGTGTAACCCTAACTCACTCACTGACAAATATCCTCTTTGTTAAGTTCGTCACTAGGTACGCTTGAAGCTATTACGAGTTCACCTTAGTCGATAAACGCGAACGAGACAATGAACCAGCGTCCAGGTAGGCTACCGTGATCCGAAAACTGCAAAGAAAAGTCTTGATAAGCGTAGAAGATGTATTCTACAAACACCCAGCAATCAAGCACACAAATCGCGTTCATTTATACATCATATAAACGTCCTTAGGAGAGTCACAAAAGTCGCACATTAAAATACACAGCGGCTAATCACAGCCATGGATTTTCCTGCTGGAAAATGAAATCTCAAAGTCAACTGATCAGCCCATGCTCGGAAACGTAAAATCCAAAATGAGGACATTTATCAAGCGAGTTCTGGGGGATCTAACATCCCCAACAATCTTATACCAATGTTTATGTACTTAAATCAATCATTCATAAATTAGCTATGCGCACTTCTATTCTCTCTTTTTCTCTCTCTCTATTCATTGTTTATGTATATGTGTGTTGTTCGTCTTTTTCTCATTTCCTAGTCATTAGCATCTCGTCTAAAAGGTTTAAATGCTGATGGATCACAAACAGTATCATCTGCTAACATTCATTCCATATCACAATTGTCAACATCGACATCATCATCGTCAGCCAACATGATGCGGTGTGATTCTACTGCTGCTATTGCTATTACTACTACTTCTGCTACTAATAATCATAGTCATATCAATCTGTCAATGAATGATTTGTCTTCTTCCACTCCTACACCTACTCCTACGACTACTCCTGCTCCTACCACTACCACTACTGCCACACATCCATCAGTTCCATTTACGACAACAACAACAACAACAACGATAATGTCAACGTCAACTACTGGTGTAACAACAACCAATCAAAATCCAGATGATTGAATCTATCAATAATACTAATAACATTGTGTAATCCAGATTTCATTATATTTTTTGTGATCAATTCAACAACTGACCATGCGTTTGTTTTTTTCTTTGTTCTTACCATTTTACCCTTTTTAATCCTATGAAGAAAGAAGAAAGAATACAACCAACCAATTAACCCACCCTTACCCCCATCCACACACACCCACACATACAACCATGATTTATTTTTAAGCATAGTTATTGTCCTTGTCTATGTGTGTGTGTGCGTGTGCGTGTGTATTCATTGAAATGTAACTTGGAACAATATTGATGAAGCATTTGTTAGACTACTATTACTATCACTGCTTATTTGTTACTTGTCGTCTTCTTCATTACACATTTTATATGGCTGGTTGATTGATGATCACCGTTCGACTTGATCATTGTTACGTCATCATCATCAACCAGATCACCCTCAGCAGCGGCAGCAACAGCAGCATTAAACCACCAAAAATGTTTCGCCTCAATTTTCTTTTTATATGTATGTATGTATTCATCATCGTTGAACACAACATGTCTCTCAGTCCAGTCCAGTCAGTGCCTCACACAGAATTAATTAATTTAAAACAACAGAATACTACTCTCCGCATTACATCTGGTGGTGATGATACAAACGACAAGACATGGTGTACACATGTCTGAGATACTATACACTACACTCAGCATTCATTATTCATTCATTCAAGTAGTGAGTGGCTGCTTCACAATCAAGCATCATGAAATGAGACAATAGTGTATGAAGCGAATTCGTCATCAAAACCATCCACCTGCCCCATTGTCTGTCACCTCATTCGTTACACCGTCATAAAATCTTTCAAAATAGATCATTTTTTCCACATATTGATAATGATGTTTGTATTTCTATTTCTGTAATGCCGTGCATGCGTACGTGCGTACACACACAAATTCCACTCACACCCTTTCAGCAGACATCGACATAATTTCCTCTTTCTAATGATGGTGATGTGTAAACGAGAGAAACTGTTGACTACTTTCTTAGTTTTGATTTCTTGTTTCCTTTATCTCTCTCTCTCTCTCACACACACACACACACTCTTTTTAATGCCAACCACAAATGAATTGAAGTTGTGCGCTTTTTTGTGGCTTACTTATTTACTTATTTGTCATTTGAATAGATTTTTTCGAGAAAAAAAATTCCCCACTAATTTTTAAATTCTTTGTTCGAATCCTTCTAAATTGTCATTTGATCTTGTCTCGCTTTTCTCTCTCTGTATTCTCCTTTGTTTACACTTGTCTAATGAATGCAATTTTTTTTAACAGAAAAAAAGAATGAAATCATGATCATAATATTTTTATTATGAAGTATATATTTTTTTCAGCGCACTAATTTAGTGTGTATTGCCCGCGTCCAATGTCCAACTGTTCGCTGTAAAAACAATGTGCACATTAGTCAAGAATTGGGCATATTCTTGTCTCGTTTTTTTTTCTATTAAATCGAAACATACTACTTGTGTTGTTTATGTCTAATTTTTTTCTAACTTTATATTCTCCTCACTGAATCATTCGTCTAGTCGGTACATTTTAGCCGCCATGTTATGTATTTCTCTCTCTGTCTCTCACTTTTATTCATTTGTCTTGTTGTACACACACACGTGCACACATACGATTGCTGTGAAGTCAATTACACTGTTTTTTAATAGGTTTGTGTGTGTGCATGTGTGTGTTTTGTCTGATTTCTTTGTTTGTACCACTTCATAATAATGGAGAATTTGAATATAACAATGACAAGTTTTCGTTCCGTACATGTCACAAAAGGCATTTCCTTTATTGTCGTTTTTATTATTTTGTTTAATACATACAAACGCACACACTTTCATTGTTTCCTTCCCTCTCTAATATATATATATTCATCTCCTCATTGGTGGTCAGTAAAGCATTTTGGCTTTATTGTAGACTTTATTTTTTCGGCATATTTTTTTATACTACTGTTGTTGTTGTTGTTATCAGTAGTAGTAGTATAGCATAGTTCCATTATTGATTGCTGCATCGTTTTCACGCCTTTTTTCTTGTGGATATGTGTGTTTTTGAATTTATTCACTGTATACTCACAATATGTATGTAATTACAGGAGAGAGAGAATATTGTGCCTTTTGTGTTTCGATTTTCTTAACATTCTGTGTGTGTGTGAGTGTGAATGTGTCTTTTCAGCACCTATTCATCATCATTCATTATATTGTGTATTCCATACATTGTGTACTTTCTAGGTAATGTATATTGAAAGAAAGGAACTAATCGGGTTGAGTATATATCTTCTATCTCTCTTTGTGTATGTACTTTTCTAAAGCCAGTTAGTTCACAATTCATCCATCATAGATTGGTAGATTGATTCTCTGTGTGTAATTTTTTTCAAGATGAACAAACAGTATGATGATGTTTTTAAGTATTTGTTAACAATGTTCATCTTTTTTTTTGCCTTTTTTCTACATTGAAAAACATAATTGATCAATTTGTTTTTAATGTGTGTGCTCTTATTATGTACATTGTGGAATTCACCGCCGCATTCATGAAGCTGGCGTTCAGTGTTTTTAATTCGACAAGAAAGGAAAAAACGAGAAAACATCCTCTGTGTATTGTTGCTGCTGTTGGTGTTTGATCATTTGTTTACAGTTTTTGTTTCGTTTTGTTTTGTTTACTAATCTTCTCTCTCTACTAGTGATATTTTCATGTTCCTTTCTCTCTCTCTATTGGCAAATTACGTGTGTGTGTGTGTCTGTATATCATCCATGATGTACTACTACTGTTATTACTCTTATTATGATGATGATCACATCGATATGCCCATTTGTAATGTTTCTTTTTGCCCTCCTTTTTTTAAATGTGGTCAATTGCTTGTGTTTATCTGTTTGTGAGTACTTTTGCTAGCCCCTCCTTTCCACCACCACCACCACCATTGTTCCACATCCTCTGTCAATTTGTTTGTTCGTGTGTGTGTGAGTGTCTGTGCATGTTTGTATTTTTGCTTTTCATTTATTGAACAATACAATTACTAATACACACACATACACACACATCTATATATATATAGACATTTATATACAACAAATGCATAGATTCTATTTGATATGTGTTCTATTGACTTTTCTGTTTGTTTATTCATTGAAATTTCAATAAGTTGGTCATGCATGTTGTTATTGGTAATGAATGTGTGTATGTGTATGTGTAGGCCAAACCAAAACATGGCAGAAAGCCATGAAGTCACTGACAAGTGGACTGAGTCATGTTGATGGTAGATGTAGACTACCTGGTTGGGGTGTGCGAGACAATAATAACCGATTGTTGGGAGACTTTGAACCATGTGGCTAAGAACCGTTTGCAGTGGCACTAGTGCATTCATTCTTCGTATTTTTCAATTAGAGTTATGGAGATGAGTGTTTGTTGCACATTGGAATCGCATTAATCAATCATTGTTAGACCACTATTGGAAACCTGGACGGCCGTTTCATGCTGGTATAGGATTCACCGGAGACGGAAATCCGTGAGTTAGGGGAGGTGTGACATTTTTAGGGTGGACCTTTTCTAACCCTTCCTTCCTTGTGAGAAGGCAGCATCGCTGCAGATGCTGGTTGTCCGAGGGAAACACCTTACTGCTGTCACACCCCTCTACAGTCAGTCAGCAGTACCACTTCGCCCTCAGACCTTGAGTAGCTGCTTTTAGTCTCGTCGCTCTCCAATCGACCTGTCTGGCATGGTAGAACCTTGAGGAACATATGTTCCAGCCAGTATAGCTCGGTTGGGTCATCACGATAGGCAAGCCCGACCACCACGTCAAGGTAGCAGCTACGGTCGGACACCAGCATACCAGGACGAAACGGCTTTCCAGGTTTCTAATGATGGTCTAACTATGATTGATTGGTGATTTCAAATGTGTAAAAACACTAGTCTCCATAAATCTAACTAAAAAGTCGTAAAATGTACTCACTAGTGACTAACTTCGTGAGGAAATTCTCGGATTTCTAGTGAGAAGACGTGGCCAGTGGAGTTCTACCCAGTCGAGTGTAGGCAGTCACTAAATCTGCAGATTGATCAGGGTTAGACATTAAAACCGTTAGATACCGGCCTGGCGATCCAGAGGCTAGGCGTTGGCGCGCGGGACCGAAGGTCCTGGGTTCGAATCCTGTGAGGCGCAGGATTCTTGGATGCACACTGTTGATGAGTCTCATACCAATACGAAACGACCATCAAATGCTCCCAGGTTTCTAATGATGGTCTAACATGATTGATTGGTGGTTCTTTGTTATCTCTCAAATCCTTTTCCTCTGGGATATACTTCGCCGGTTGATATCCTTGATCACTAATCTTCTTGATCAACGCTAATACTTCCATTATTATGGGATTTTGAATGGACAAATCGATCTCTGTGTGTGCCAATATGATATGTGAACTTGAACACGAATGTACACGACGTTCTACTTTGTAGCTGACCGACTGATGTGTAGACAGCATCATCTAGGTATTTTTTAAGCAAATAATCATGTTTAGACAATGCAGTTAGTTGTATGCATTATAGAATAGTTCTTATCAACGATTACATTGACATAAATTATTTATGTATAACACTTAGACTTCTGTGTATATATTTGTTGTTGAGTTTTGCTTAGTGTAGATAAATTTTTCGGTGTATATGTGTACATCGGCTGGAGTTGCAACAACACACTTCAGTTAAATAGAATCAGTGACGATATCAGTGGAAGCATAAGTTGTCGATTAGGAACCTTTAATCATCAACTCTATCATGAGCTGATCTGTTCATTTATTCGTAATTGCTTTTCATTATTTTGATATGTGTGGTCAATCGCTGAGAAATAGTATTTTTTGGTTTGATTCTCCTTCCTTTTATCGATGATTTGAAGTTAGGGTTTGTTTTGGAATCCACTTTACGTAAAGTTTAATCATTTTCAGTTTGATACTGGTTCATTCTTTACCTTAGTTGTTTATTACTGGTTATGTTTGACCAATAAGTCTGGAGTATGTTGCGCAGACAGCCGTTTTTTTTAGTAACTTGTATCCTTTTAGTGATCGTTGTAGTAGTAGTAGCAGCTCTGTACAACAGAATATTTTTAAAGCTTCTGCTGGAAACTCGGTGTTTTCTGACAGTTGTTTTGAGTTCCAGATGTTTTTCGGTACTAACCTTGCTTTACCAATCCATGCCTTCTCGTCTTCATCAAGGTCTAAGTTGTGTTATCAGTGATAATACTCAGGTACTTAAAAATTCTCCAGGTGTTTTAGAGCTTCGCAAGAATTATTGGTTATATTCACTATGATATGGCAATTTTAAAAATCAACATCTAGGAGAATAAAAATGTGAATGTGTTTATACCATTCGGATTGAGACTTCAAGCCATTTCATTATCCAACATCTCCAATCATTCGTTATGATAATCATGCAGATGTTATGTCAATATAGACAGTTGTCGGTTATTCGTAATACAGTTCCATAACCATTCACGGTGGATAACACATTCCCTACTTCATCAGTTTATTGACCATTCTTATTTACTGGCTTTCTGTTTAACCCTAAAGATTAGTCGATTTAATGAGAACACATTCAAATAGATAACATTGATCAGAGTCATGACTGGATTTGAATTCTAGCATAAAATGCTATCTCTCTAGTTCAACTAGTCCGAAAGAAATTTTTTCAGTTCAGTTTCAAACTAGGTTATAGATTACTTTTCAAGACAAAATAATTGTTTAAATACAAACTCATCAATTTAAGTCGACCGATTACTACGACCTATCTATCATTTGTTCTGATTTTGTTAGCGTAGATTCAAAATAAAACATACAATCGACTATACCCTAAGCAACAATGCAAGCATGTTCGGGATGCGGTTTTCCCCCTCGAAATGAAAAATGTTGCTTCAAGACTGGGTTGCATCGGCACCTGAACTAGTGATAGGGAGTGAAGTAGTCGAACGTGTAGACCGCTTCACTTATCTTGGGAGTCTCATCAGCGCTGATGGCCTGTTGACTGACGAAATCTCAGCTCGGATACAGAAGGCTCGATTGGCTTTTGCCGACCTGCGTCACTTATGATGTAGGCGAGATATCCGTTTGCTGACTAAAGGGCGAGTGTACTGTGCAGCAGTTCGCTCCGTTCTCCTATATGCCTGTGAAACATGGCCAGTGAGAGTAGACATTCGTAGGTTACTGGTTTTCGAACATAGGTGTCTTCGAAGCATTGCTCGTATATCGTGGGACAACCGAGTGAGCGATGCTGTTATTAGGAAACATTACTAGGTAAGGATGGCAGATCAATCGATGAAGTAATGAAACTTCATCAGTTGAGGTGGTTGGAACATGTGTTGCGTATGCCTAACCACCGACTGCCTCGTCGAGCTTTGTTTTGTAGTGTAGGAGTAGGTTGGAAGAAAGCTAGGGGCGGCCAAACCAAAACATGGCATAAATCCATGAAGTCATTGACGAGTGGACTTAGCCATGTCGGTAATTGTCGACTACCTGAATGGGGTGCGCGAGATGATAATAATCGATGGTTAGAGACCTTGAATGACATGGCTCAAAACCGTTTGCAACGGCGCGGTGCATTTATTCTGTGTTGTCTCAAATCCTAATCTTCTGGATTCTTCAATACCTTTAGTTTTGACTTTCTAAACTTTTCTCACTGACTCATACTTCTTGAATAACATCTTCTAATCCTAACGTACTATCATTGAATCATCATCGACGAGAAAGGTGGATCCGATGCAGATGTGAGGGTGCGGATTGGCAAAGCAAAGGCTGCATTTCTACAATTGACAAATATCTGGAACTCCAAACAACTTTCAATCAAAAACAAAATCAGGATTTTCAATACAAATGTGAAGACAGTTCTACTGTATGGAGCGGAAACTTGGAGAACTATCAAAGCCATCATCCAGAAGATACAAGTGTTTATTAACAGTTGTCTACGCAAAATACTTTGTATTCGTTGGCCAGACACCATCAGCAACAACGAACTGTGGGAGAGAACAAACCAGATTCCAGTGGAGTAGGAAATCAGGAAGAAGCGGTGGAAGTGCATGGGACACACATTGCGGAAGGCACCTAACTACGTCACGAGACAAGCCCTCACATGGAACCCTCAAGGTAGAAAAAAAGAGGAAGGCCAAAGAATACATTACGCCGAGAAATAGAGAAAGATATGAGAGGAATGAACAAACATTGAACAGAACTGGAAAGGGAAGCCCAGGACAGAGTTGGTTGGAGGAAACTCGTTGGCGGCCTATGCTGCATTGGGGGTAACAGGCGTAAGTAAGTAATCATTGAATAATTTAAACGACTAATCATTGTAATATAAAGAATAAATGGTGAGTTTCTACAAGACTAATCGATTACAGTCCTAACTATCATCAATGGGAAAACTTCAAATAAGCCAATACAAATGTATTTTATATTTGTACATATATTTTTAAAACTTAAACAAAATTCCACATAATTGGGTACTTCATTTAAACAACAAAAATTCAATATCCAATTATTTTCAGCGTGAAATTTAAAATTGAAAAAAAATCATTTTCATTAAAAATCCACATAGAAATCAATGGAACTCTTATGTATATTTAACTGTACACTTTTTAGATGGCAACCTGTAACACTGAATAAATCGTTATCAGGCTTTCGGTCTTTGTTGGGGATGTTAGATCTCCAAAACTCGCTTGATAAATGCCTTATTTTCGATTTCACGTTTGCCAGCATGGGCTCATCAGTTGACCTTGAGATTTCATTTCCCACCAGGAAAATCCATGACTGTGATTGACTGCCGTGTATTTTAGCGTACTATTATCGTAACTGTCCCAAGGAAGTTTCTATGATGTATAAGTTAACGAGAGTTTTATGCTTGATTGTATTGTGATTGCTGCGTGTTTGTAGAATATACTTTCTACGCTTATCAAGACTTCTATCTTCAGCTTGGAATTCAAGGTAGCCTATCTGGACGCTGGTAGTTGTCTGGTTCCTGTTTATCGATTAAGGTGAACTCGTTATAGCTTCAAGCGTACCTAGCGCCGAACCCTACAGTCTTACAACATCATGTAATCTGATTTTAACTTGTCTTCTCTTGGAA